TCACGGTCATGTAGGCCACAGTTGGGTAATTTTCAAGTAATGGTAACTGAAGCCATATGTGGAAAAGTTTTGCTCTGTAACATTAAAAAAAAATGCCTGTGTTAAGTACTTCAGCTTTTCACAACAGTTCTAAGGCACGCTCTCTCGCTATCTCTCTCTCTCTCTCTTATTTCTTTCTCTTCATCCTCTCTCTAAACAGGGTCTCACTAGGTAGCTCACACTGGCCTTAAACTTACAGCCATCCTCCTATCTCAACGTCTTGAGTGGTAGACTCACAGCTATGAGCCATCATGCCACACCTGCTCTACTCCGGATCTCTTATAATTGAACACCACCTCATCACTGGGGCCCCCACAGTCAATACTGTGTGTTAATAACTTTGGGCTCTTTTTTCAGCAATGTTCTTAAGAGGCAGTGACTCTAGAATTCCCCTGTATTGATGTTGATGCATTTAATCCTCACAACCTTGTGATGAAGACAGACTGGTTGGTTTTGGCAAACAGGGGAACTGAGGTTTGAAAAGGTTCATTATTTTTCCCAAAGGCTTGGAGCTAATAAATTGCTGAATCTGAGTTTGGATTTGAACTCAAGAAGACTGATTCATAGACCCACATTGCCTAATGATATGCTATATGAAATTTAAAAACTAAGAGAATTGGATGAAAAGTAAGAAGAATGTATGAATGGGATAGGCAACGAACTTCTATTAAATTATCCGAACTGGTAAAAATACAAAGCAAATTCATGGAGAAGAAGCTCTCCTTTCATCACTTTGGTGATTCTGTCTCTTAGACCTCCCTTAGCCTGAACTACTATGTCAAATGAAAGCCAAGACTAAAACACAAGGGGACACCCAAAACATTTGGTTTGCGGGGGTCAGTGTTGAGAGAATAGAAGGAATCTCAAAGAGTAGTTTGATTATCCAGTATTTTTCTTGTATGCTGAATTCAGACCCTAACCCCTAGTAAAATCAAGTCTTCTCAGTTGATATGATGAGTTCTGGGTGAATCTCATATTTCTTCTTCACTAGATCGTCTTCAAGAGGCTTTATGAGAACTACTAACTATTGAACTGGCATTCGGAGGTGGGCCTTCTCTGTTGTCATAGCAGCACCTTCCTGCTGAATAGGTCACTGGACTTTGGAGGACTTTGTGCAGAGCCCTCAAAATGCAGCAGCCCTCTTCATCTGCAGGGGTACATTCCGAGGCCCCCAGTGGATGCCTGAGACCATGGATAATACCCAACCCCATACGTACTATCGTTTTTCCTACACATACATATATATGATAAAGTTTAACTTAAATTAGGCATGAGACTAGCAACTAATAATAAAATAGAATAATTAATTATAATGATATGCTATAATAAAGTTATATAAATGTGCATTATTTCCTCCCCTACTAGCATCTTATTTTATTCTATTTTCAGGCCTCCATGGACTATAGATAACTGAGGCCACTGAAAATGAACCTGTGGCTAGGGGGAGACTACCATAAGAGCAACTCAAACACCATAGATTGTAAGCACATATTGATCAAAACTCCATTGAGGAAGCCGGGGAGATGACTCAGTGGGTAAAACACTCCCTACACAAGAATAAGGATATGAATTAGGATCCCAAGCGCCCATGTAAATTCCAGGCAGATATCATGATGGCCCAGCTGTAATACTTGGGAGGCAAAGACAGGGGATTCCCCAGAGCTGCACATGTCTATAACCTCAGGATTGGGGCAAGGGCAGATAGACTCCTGGAACTCACTGGCCAGGTAACCTAGCTAAATTGATGATTGATCTAGATTGATCATATTCGATTGAGATTCAGTGAGAGAACTTCTGTCAAAATATATATATATATGTATAGCGAGTGATTGAGGAAGGCCTCCCGATGTCAACTTCTGGCTTCTACATGCACACATGTGCATCATGTCTCCACAGGAACACATACAACACATGCCCCTCACCCACATACACAAATGAAGTAACCTTTTCTTCCTCTTTGAAGAGTTGGAGGAGGGTTGGTATTAATTCTTCTTTAAATATTTGTAGAATTCATGAGTGAAGCCACCTGGTCTGGGTTTTTCTTTATGAGGAGGTTGCAATTACCAACCTTCTCAATGAGGAGGTCCACTGTGTTGCAGATGGAGGGCTTCTATAGAAGATAGAAATATTTTCTATTTCTTCATGAGTTCACCTTGATGTGTTTCTAGAATGTTATCTGTTTCTTGTAAGTCACCAATTTCCTTTTGTGTGCACACAATATGCTTTTGAGTCAGAAATTTGGGAGCAATTTTTAAAACGATTAAGGACATGAAAATACTAAAGTGATCTACAACAGAGTAAAACACAGTTGCTACCTCAAGAAAAGTGTCCTACTGTTCACAATATATATGCGTAAACTGCGTTCTTCACTGAGTTGATTTTTGGGGGGCACAGTAATTCAGTAAAAATATTCGCCACCCAAAGTAGGCTTCCTTACAATTGATTATTAAATTTCATAAGTGTTTTAGTAAACATAAAATCTTTTTCTAATTCTAAATCACTCTGTTCTTTTCTTGCTAGGCATGCTTTACAATGACCATAACTGAACATTTTAGTTCTTTTAATTAAACTCATTTAATCAATCAGCCTAATAAGGATGGGTGAAATGTTCCTAGGGTTCGAAGAAGTACCTTACATGAAAGACTACATTGGCTTGTGGTACTCAGTTTATATGCTGAGGCACAGTGATTATCACAATTTCATCATTGTCTTAGAAATTCATTTGATCAAAAGGATTAAGTTTTCTTGCCTCAATGGAAGGTATTTGCATTTTAAAGTAAGTTATATAAATACAACATATGCTAGCAATGACTGGCATTTGACTCATGAATGAGTAGGAAGTATATTGCTCAGCATAGAGATGGACGAAGCCTGGGCCATTTCTTTCTTGGCTCCCTCCATGCTCCTCACTCAGGAGAATGAATTGATAATGAGTAACTGGGAGCAAGGAAGCATGGTGTGGCGACATTTGGCTCTACAGTGTGTTATAGACAGATCATGGGCAACATCTCCAGGATGAACAGGGCCTTATGAAACAGAGGAGATGGGTGTGTCCTGCTCTTGGCTCTGCTGCTGTTCATGTGTCCATTGAAAGGTAGTCCACAGGATAATAGCACTCTGCTTTCAATCTTCAGCTCTTCTTTCTGGCCTCAATCCCTATTATGTCCAGATTTTTAAATGTATTTTATTAGCATTCTGAGAATTCCATAGATGCATAGAATGTAGTTTGATCATATTCACTACCCCTCCTTCAATTTTATAGGAAAATAAACATAGTCTATAGAGGTGAAATGTTTGACCAAAGAACATAGAAGAAATAAAAAACAAACAAAAATCAGCAAAAGCATAGACTCTCAGACTAGAAACCTGTTTTCTTTACTCAGCTATTTCCTTGCTGTAAAAGAGTATCTGAAAATTCATTATTAGAATTCGTTACTTAGCTTTTAAGTACACACTGTACAAACATTACTTGGGTACTGTTTTTCACGCAGTACTTAATTTTTTTTAGTCACCCAGAAGTCATGCTCACCTAATTATCTCTTTCCTCAGGGATAACCCTACTTATCTTTATAACCTTAGGCATTGTAGATTCCAAAGTCCTATCTTTAGCCCTCTTCTTTCTCCCTTTTCCTGTGGCGCCCTGAATGTGGAACTACCATAGCTTGAAATAAAATTGTTTTGAGGATCCCTGATTTCTCTTATGGAGCCTAACATGGGTACATCTAACTGCTTATTCAACTTCATCAAATGCGTGATTGTTAATGTTGGACTTTTCAAATGAAATGTATCTAGAGGTGTGTGTGTGTGTGTGTGTGTGTGTGTGTGTGTGTGTGTGTGTATGTGTGTGCGTGTGTTAAATCTGCTCCTACCATGGACTTCCCATGTCACCAAACATCCAGTTGCTCATGCAAAAAAAATGGAGGAGTTATCTTTTATTACCTTACTCAGTTTTCTTCATCACACAACACCACCACCAACCATGACTACATCAGACAAGTACCATCCACCCCATATCTAAAATATATATGGATTCCAGCCTCTCCTCAGTATCTCTCCATGACTGTCCTTGTCCATATCTCCATCTTGTCTGTAAGCAGTCCATTGATTGGTCCCCCTGATTCCAATTTATTGGTTCCAGACCTTTCTCTAGTCACCAAACAAATGGTATATATTCTACAGGTATGGAGTAGATAATGTGATTCCCCATACCTCCCAATGTGTCCCACTGGAAGCAGAATAAAATCTAAATGATCTAGCATTTCACTCTCTTACTCGGCTTGTATCCCATCAATCCCTCCGTATATCCTAGCCATATTGGAGTTGCTTCTCATTCTCAGACAAACCAGGTTCACTCCTGACTTGCTCTTACCTCTGCAGCAATCACTCTTTCTCCAAAATTCTCTTGATTCTTTCCTCAGTATTATTTCCAAGGCCAAATGTCACTGTCTTAGAGGAGCTTTCCTGGCCAGCTTAGTTACCACAGTCATTCTCTCTCCTGTCACCCAGATTGTCTTCTAAATATTACTCGTCCTGGTTTTAAATCATCCTTTTTGATAGGTCGTTTGATTGTCTCTACATACCAGAGTATTGGTACTTTAGGAAGGAGAACTTTGTCTTGGTTATATCTGAATTAACAATGTCTGGTACAACACCCATCACAAGAAAGTACCTGATGAATGTTCTGGTTATAATGGCAAAATGAACAAGTGTGTTAAATGTAGATTATTGAAGTAGAATTTAAGTTCATTATCCAGATTTAGCCTCTGTGTCTCTCTGTCTGTCTCTCTCTCTCTCACACAGACATACAGTACATGTACATGCACAAAATAAAATTGACATATTGTACATAGTGTTTTATAGCTCTTAGCACCTGTCAACAACTACTAAATGTGTGCTCATCTCATTAATAAAGGATTTTTAGAGTTTAAATATGCCTGTTTAAAAACATTTTTCCCTAGTCAGCTCAGACTCAGATTCGCATCACCCACATCAACAATCCAACGCATGCAAACAGTGGAATGTCATCACTGCCATGTTTAAAAACATTTTAAGAATAAAAGCAAATAAGTGGAAATCATACTTCACTAAATCCAGTTCTCAGAAGTAACGATTTTCAGGTTGATCATTTGTCTTTATAAATATACATATACCTTACAGACATTTGTAAGATATAATATATAGTTTAAAATGTTCATATATGTATAAAAATATATAAATTAGAGCACATAAAACAAACATGTCTTTTTAATTTCTAAGTAGACTGAGATCCTCTAGGTCAGAATATGTTCAAAAATTTAAGAGATTTTGAGTCCTTAAATTGGCTACAGTGAGGGGGAGCTAAGTCTCAGAAAGGTTCAGGAGTTAAGTGAAGTCAGAAACTGAAGGTGAGCTGAGCAGTCTACTGGAAATACATAGAAGTCCCCCTTCAGAGTTACTGACTACCTTTTCCAAACCTTGTTGGGAGATGGAAAAGCTGTCCAGAGAGTACTGGGCACAAACCACAGGGGAAGTCAGAGCAAGGCCAGTACTGTACACATGGGCAAAGCACCCATCCCATTCTCACACTGGCTATACCAGCAGGCACAGCCCATTCTTACATTGGCTATACCAGCAGGCACAGCTTATTCTCATGCTGGCTATACCAACAGGCACAGTCCATTCTCACACTGGCTTCTGAAGTGCCAGCAGCACACTGTGCCAATTCCATTATAGAAAACCGATTTTCCACATACACTGGCAGCTTCAAGTACTTCATGGAAAGAACCAGGTTATAACATGATGATAAGGCACATTAGCTGAGCCCAGACAATACACATGGAGCTTTCAAACTGGAATGCTTTTGTTTCATTCTTACATATACATGATAACAAAGAGATGGAAAATATCTGAGAAAAACCTCAAAATTGAAAAATAGAGGCCAAAGTAAAATACAAGAAAATACAGAGCTCAGAGAAAAGAGTACATGAATGAGATCAGAAGAAAACTTCAAAAATATCTTACTAGCTGGGTGTGCTAGAGCACATCTGTAATTCCAACACTCTGGGTGGGGCAGGAGGATCACAAGTCTGAGGCCAACCTGGGCTATATAGTGAGACCATGTCAAAAACAGACAAAAAATTAACCTTCATTTCAATTTTCTTTAACAAAATAAAATAATCTAATTTTAAAATTATGAAATTATAAAAGACATTAGAAATTAAATATATAGTAGGAAAATATTTTATACTTAGTAGAATATAAGCAAGCAAGAAAAATGGAAATCAAAGTGTCATCCAATTTTCAAGAGTAATCTGGAATTTAGAAAGAACACAGGTCCATACAAATATTTCCAACCATTCAATAGATATTAAAACTGTCATTGAAGTACAAGAGTAGAATAAATGATTACCAGGCATAGAAAACATATTAGTTTCTTAGGGGTACTGTAACAAACTACCTCACACTTTTTATTTCATGATTCTATAGACTAGAAGGCTTTAAAGTATTGACAAACAGACTCTCTCTCTCCTCACATGTGGTGATTGCCAGCAAACCTTTGATTGCAGCTGCATAATTCCAGTCTCCATCTCTGTCATCACAAAGCTGTCTCCCTCTGTGTGTCAGCGTCTTCACATGACACCTGCTCTCTGATCCATCTCTCTGTGACTCTTCCCGTGAGAACACCAGTCATACTAAGGCCTATAGTATTCCAATATGACCTCAGCTAACTTACATCTTAATTATGTCAGCAAAGACCCTATTTCCAGACAAAGTCACATTCACATCTGCGAGGCATTAGGATGTTAACATTTCTTTGGGGGAAAGAAACAATTTATGGGAGATCTACTTACATCACATGCACACAGATAAAACATCTAATTGACAAAGCGCCTTGCAATAATGAAGGGATAAATCAAAAATAAGAAATAGAAGGGTTTGGGGAAACAAGAAATCTAGTTCACGAGAGAGGGAGAATTCCCAGGATGATGATGAAAGGAATTTCCAGGAAGATAACTGGACAGTGAACAGAAAGCCAGTCCTGTGAGAGCAGGAGGGTGAGACTTCCAAGGAGAAAGTCTTCATGGAAAACAAAATGGAGGAAGCACACGAGATTTGTTGAGCAGTTTCTGGATAATTGTTACTACACAGGCAGCTAAACAAATGAAAATAGGTGAATGAAGAATTAATTCTAATAAACCTAAAATTTATAGACGTTATTAAAGGAGTTTACTATGAGACTCAGTTGAAATTATTTGAGTCCTAATGATATAAAATGTGAATATTGATATAACCCAAAAGAATGCCATGACAGCATTTGGAAGTTGGGAGAAAGTGTAGATATGCCTGCACTGTGTGAGTATCTATATATGTAGGCTGAGAGAGATGGACAGTTTGTAAACCGTGTTAATGGGTTGCAATGTTAACCTACAGTGTAGTAGTAAAAATGAGTTGGCAAATAGTCCAGAGAAGCATTAACCAGCCAGGGTTAATGGTGATAGGGCTGTGTAGCAGACATTGGAAACCTTCCCTAAGAAAATCGCTTGGCCCAGTCTGAGCTTCCTGAAGTTACAATGGAGAAGTCCTACGCACATCCCAAGCACTTGTGTCTCTCTTCCTGTTTGAGTGAGGGATTTGGGCATCTGGTTCAGCTCACTGGACTCTCACTGGACTCTAAAGTGCTAAAGATTTAATGTCCCAAGAAAGTCCTCCTCCACTGGGAGACAGAGGTGAGCTGATAGGTGGTCCAGCCTCTGCATTCCTTATGGGATGACTTCACATGGTTGAACTAATCCACATGCACTTTCTAGGCTTTTTTTTTTTTTTCTTTCCATGTATCACTTTTCTCACTAATGGGATCACGGGGACCATGTCACAAACATCAGATTCACCCAAGTAATAATCTTGCTTCAGGTTTTGCTTTTGGAGAAAATCAGATTAAGTCAGCTGGTTCCAGGAGTGGTTGCAGGATGGACTCTGTAAACAGCTCACTCCAGCTGGAGGTCAATGAGAGCTACAGTGTGGACAGTAAATGAAGCTATGTTAACTCTTGACAGGCTGTGGCCCTGCAGTTCCAATGTGATCACTTGGGAAACACTGCTTCACAGAATCTCTATGGCACCTGATAGATACTTGGCTATAGTAATGGTAAGAACTGTGGAATTGTTTGTTGAAGAAAGTGGATAATAAAATGATCCTATCAACCAGTCATCAAACTACTACAGCACTGTAGAAACCAAAGATCATCTGTGGAAATATTTAAGGAAACTCTTCTGCCTTGCAACTACGGGCAACTGTTGAAAATTAAGGATAGAGTCTGGATAAGGAGAACCAGCCTATAAAGGAGGTTGAATGTACATCCCAGGAGGTCATCAAAGTTAAAAAACAGCAACAACAAAATCATGATAGGGAAGGAGTTGGACTCTAAATCCAGGCATGAGAACATTTGGATGGAAAGTTCCAGGCTAGCTGAATGACCTCCTTTTTAGTAAAAAGCATCCTCCCACTGCCGGGAATCATGTCAAGGCCTGACTTGAGGCAGATGCCTCACAAGATATGGGCCTTTTTCATTGTACTTCCTTTAATGCGTCTAGGTCAATAACTAGGGCAAGGTTTCAAAATATCTATAGTGGGAGGTAAAGCCCACAGTACAAGAAGCTTATCCATCAAAAACAGTTGGCTAACATGTCTAGCAAGAAAGGAGTGAACATCTGTGGAAACTGGTTTTTAAAAACACTAGTTTTGGTTGAGGCACAGGTTGATGGAAAGAACCACCTCCCAGGAGCATATAAACATGCCTTAGACAGGGAACTAGAAAAAACTCAGAACGGGATAATTTTCAAATGTTCAAATGAGAGTCCATTGGAATTTCTTGACAAGGGCTTCCAAAAAGCATCCCTCTATTGGGTACCTTCTCATTTTTCTTTTGTCTTCCAAGGCTGGACTCGAGAGTGCCGGATTCATCAGGATTTGCTTTCAGGCATTTTGATAGCTGTTGGAGTGGTTAGAATCAGTGTCAGTTCCCTCTCAAAGGCTTCTAGATAGGGGGAGAAAACAAATTCATCCATCATTTTAGAATAGCTGGTTGTCTCCCTTAGCTACAGGTGGGCACTACAGTATTGCAGACCGAGATTTCAAGTCTTACATCTGAGCAGCACTTTCTACTTAAGAACAAAATCATCAATGATAAATAATTGTCTAAATAACTTTTTATATAGACTTAAGCCTAATAATTAGTCTGGGAAGTATAAACCCTTGAACACTTAAAGAAATATACTGATAAATTTACTATTTGGTTATACCTTCCTTTGGGGTGTTTAAGACCATACAGTTGGCCCAAATAAATCAATTTATTTTTACACTTAAGGTCATTTGAGGATCCGTTCCTCAGGGGTCACATGGGCTTGGGAGGAGCTCTTGGTTCCTTTAAAAGAAAGGTTCTTGAAGGAGACTAAAGTGCTATTCAGTGAACACATGGGTGCTGATTTTTTCCAAATGATGAAATAATCTTATTGCTGGTAAAAAGAAAGTTTCAGTAGTCTGGATAGAATATTACATCAGTCACAATAACCCCTTGCAGTAAGGCTTTATCTAGAGCAAGGCCTCAACTCTCTTCTGTTCTATGAAGACTGACAAGGGTTTGAGAGCTGTAGGTGTCTGGGGTTTACTCAGGCTGACTAATGAGGTTTAAGGACACAAGCCATCCCCATAACAAAAATGTGCAAGGTTAAGTGGTAAGAGCGATGCAGAAGCTGCAGAAAGTTATCCAGAAAGTTAAGCCGAGATGATCAAGGGAGAGGGCTGTGCCAAACAGCACATCTTCAGTATAAACTAAACAGCCTACTGGAAGAAGAATCCATCTAGAACTTTCATAGCTACAGAGAAGCCAATGACTATTGTCAGTGCTTTAAGGACAGGCTGACTCTCTTGACAGGAGCAAATGCAGCTAGTGACATGAAGATGAAGCCAGAGTCAGGAGTGCTGGCCTATACCTTTAGTTCCAGCATTCAGGAGGCAGAGGCAGATAAATCTCTGTGAGTTCAAGGCTAGCTTAG